TCATTCATTTGATATATAATTTACACAATTTTAAACGGTTTATAAAATTATCAAATAATTGTATATATCAGAACGACTTAAAAATTAAACTATAATGTTTAATAAAACTAATATGTTAGCTATATGTTTGCTTTACTACTAACATTTTGTTTCAAAGTAGAAATATTAAATATAATTTTGTAAAAGTTATTATTTTAACTATACAATTTTATTCTCGAGCAACACGCGGGGATTCGCCTAGTATCTTATAAAGAAAACATTTTTCCTTGATTCTTATGCATTTGAAACCCCATAATTTAATTTCCTTGATTCTTATGCATTTGAAACCCTCTAATTTAATTAATACCACTCAAAAGACTTTTTAATAATGATTATTAATTGGTTCTTTAATATAAAAATAACATGAACAACATCAAACATAACAAGACCAAGTATAAATACGGTGAATAATAGGAACATCTTTGTCATATTTTGCAAGGATTAATGACCTTTAAAGAAGGAAAAAAGACTTTTATGTGTGTATTGCTTTTCATATGAATTGTAATAATTTTTTTTTGTTTTTACCAACGGTTCAATGTGTGGTTGTTTCCGGTATGTCACATGTTATATTCATGGTAGAAACCTTTGCATAAAGATGCACCTAATTCCATTCACTATAGGTATTAAATTAATATTTGACTCATGCATACACAAACAAATCTTGCTGATCATTTTAAATTCTTTGAATAGATTCGATTTTCATCATCATTCCTTCAACAATGGAAATTATCTCTACCTTCACTATTTGACACTTCCATATGTATCCATACGTGTAATAATTTTTATTTTTCTTAAGATTTTTTGTTAAAACCATTTTAATACTTAAGAATATAAAAAAAGATGGAAAACAGTGAAATATTCATCGTTGGCATCACAAGGTGGATTTATTGAACCCTAGAAGATATTGGAAAATTTGAAGTCATATTAGCAAATGTATTGCTACATATAAATTGTTTTAAATGTCAATTGGTCTTAGTTTATATTAAAGTCATGAATTCCTATTTGATCCTATAAAATATCACATTTGAACTAAAGGTAGGTCATGCATATTTTAATGTCGTACTAGCACAACCGATACCAATGAGCTGCCATGCTCCTTTTCAAGTCATGAGAAGGTAATCCGTTTAGCTTTCATTTTTTTTTTGTATATATACATTTAGTCTCAACCAAACATTTTTGTGGCAGGGGTGTGTTTGTATTAGTCTCTAATAAAAATTAGATGTTGGTATCCAGACTATGCCTATGTGGTTTTAGTTTGCCGATGTTGGAATATGAAAATTAATATGATGAATAGATATGCATTTAACAAATAATAAATACATCACATTATTTACTTAGTCGATATTAATGGATATAAATGTCACTTTGTGCCTTTGCAGTTGAGTAATCTGAATTGAAGCAAGCAATAGAGGTGTGGGGGTGATAACAAAACATAGTTTCGTAGTATTTGGTGGATGTTTTGGATTTGATAGAAAAGAACCCATCAAATACAAAAAAAAACAACATTAATATATTTCTAAAACTGAAAACGTTGTATTTTGAATAACATGTAATATTAGGGTAAAATATGAAAGGTGTTATGATATAAATATCAATAACATATATTAATTTTAATATTTATTTGTCAAAATTTTAAGTACGTAATTTTACGTTGCGCAACGCGCGGCTGTTGGCCTAGTCATAAAATAATAAATAATTTTTTTTAGTAATTTTATAGACATCTAACAAATGGATGCTGATGGTAACAACAGACCACGAGTGCAAATAAAGATGAATCATATCGAAAATCAATTTGGAGTCGAGTGTAAAGCACAAGGACCAAAACCATAATTACCTTTTTTATTTTTGTTATTTTTGGAACCACACATGCATCATACTAAAAATTCAAAAACTAGACTAAAACTTCGGATGTATATTACTATATGGACCAAAACATTGACGACTCATCAGATATTCAAAAGTTAGATTAAAACTATAGACGAGTATAAACTATAGGGACCTAAACTGTAATTTACTTTTTTGTAAACTTATCCATCCAACATTGTTCACGTTCTTTGAACGTCGTACACGAAAAAAGTGTATAACAAGGGTAACATGTTTTTACGTTATCGAATTTTTAACAAAAAGTAGTATAGATGTATTGAGTGTTCTAAATTATGAGAATAAATAATCAGAGTAAACGAGACGTCTTTTTTGTATGGGGTCATGGTTTTTTCTAGATTCAAGTACGAGTCTCTTTAAAACGATGAATATATTTAAATATGTCTCTGTAGCTTATGATAGAATTTAACTTTAAAAATAATTTTATTTTGTAAGCATCTAATTATATACATTCGGTAGATATGAACACATAGAATATGATTTGAATACGATTATTTTGATTGTGATTTTAATTAGTATTTGATTGAGAAAGGTGTCTCCATCTCTTGAATGTTAAAGTCGATGCAATGAAAGCCAAATGAAAGAATATAGATCGATACAGAAAATAGTATTTTAGAATATTCTTTTTTAGTTAAAATATCTTATTAAAATTTTGGTTGATATATATCTTAATTAGGGCTATTATGATTTGGGTAATTTTGAATATTTACTATTATCCTTATTAATTATGAATTATCTTCGAAATTAAATATAACTTTCTTACAAAATTCTTATATACTATATACTAAAGATGACCATCTTTATGAATAGTGAAGTTGTGTGTTTTTTTGTCAAGAATGACCCTTCCGTGTTATTTGTTGTTTAAGTGGGTGTTATTTGTTCTTTAAATATGTTTTGGGTGTTATTTGTTCTTTCTTTTATATATATATATATATTATATTTATATTTATATATATTAAAGATGACCATCTTTATGAATAGTGAAGTTGTGTGTTTTTTTGTCAAGAATGGCCCTTCGGTGTTATTTGTTCTTTAAATGAGTTTTGGGTGTTATTTGTACTTTCTTTTAAATTAAACCCACGTCTTCCCTTGTGTTATCCTGTTGTCTTATCTTTATCTCCATCCTAGATAGTTGTGCTTTGACTGGTGTTTGTTTCTACATAGACTTGCTTTTCTTTCAGTTTGGCTGATACGTTTCATTCCCACGCCTTCCCCCACCGGTTCTGCCTTATCTTCCCCCCCACCTGCTTTCTCATCCAGTCATATTCGGATTTCACCGCTTTTCGAAAACCCTCTGTCTCCATCGCCTCACCCTTCTTCCGTTTCTACACCGGCTTCCGAAGTGTGACACATGGATTGATTGTTTCGCTTCCGTTTCAATGACAGAGAAGAATAGAGGTGCAGCAACGATTGAATGCACACCCAAGGCACCGCAGCTCATGAAACACCCGCTGGCTATTGTGGCTTTGGTGCCTAAAGAAGCTGCTGTGTTCGCCGCCGGTGCAGTCGCCGGTGCCGCCGCGAAGATCGTTACTGCGCCCTTTCACCGGATTAAACTCATCATGCAGGTGAAGTACTTGGGAATGCAGGTTAGACCACCTCTACGCCCAACGATGCGACCCGTTGAGGAACACCATGGCGGTTCGATTACGCTCTCAGATAAGAAGTGCAAACCCTGATCGCTTCACCTGTTGTTGTTTCTTACTGTTACGAAGATGATTTCACACCTCTAATGTTCTTTGCTAAACTCGGACACAGCGATGTGGTAAAAGCTCTGCTTGACGCAGGTGCTCCATCGAATGTCGTATCTTCTTCCAATCTACTCTATAAGAGGTAAACTTCTTTCTTCTTCCACAATAATGCGATACAAGAGATTGTTTGGATTGCATTTTCTATCTCCTGCTTCTTCTTTTTTATCGGACGGTTATTTGTTATTAATTTCTAGGGTTTCAACAGATTCCTCAACACTAATTTCAATCTTGCTTGCTGCCTTCCTATTTCTTTCAATTTTCGAATCTAACATATATAATTTTGCGATTTTGTGTCTGGAGTTCAGGATTTGGGTCGAGATCCAACCTCACAATCTCTATTTCCACGCCATTTTAAGCAACACCGCAGGAAAGCGTATCAGATGTGAAGATAAGTTCTTATACCCATACTTCATCACTCTATTTGAACTTAAAAGGATAAAAAATCTGTTTGAAAATCTGAAACGTCATGTTCTCCTGTGAAATAAGCAATCAAAGGCAGCGTTTGTCTAAAGTTAACATTTCGCACCCCATGTGTTTGATGGAATGTCCCGGAGAAAAAGGAAAAGGCAAATTCCTGCTAAGCAAACTCAATTTAAAAAACCTCAACAAATGTTGAAATCAGTCGGCTGATGCCGCAGCAGGTATGTGTGTGGATAATTAGGTCCTATACAATTGAATTTATAATTTTTAGAGCTTCATATAGTGATTTTGATAATTTTCATTATGTGTTTTGGATTTTGTTTGGGTGTTTCTTTACTAACCAGCTTCTCAAGATAGGTAACTACTCATATTCCAGGGTGTTTTTGATACCATTAAATTAACAATATTAAATTTAAGTCGGTTTTTTTTTTATCAGCTATGTTTATCCAGCGTATGCAAGTTTCGTATGAGAAATTGAATGGGAAGGAGAAAACAAAGAGAATAAAGAAGGGTATTATGGTCATATGTCATCAATCTTCAACAATAGTGCAAGTTTCTTTGGCCGTGATCCGATCTTGACATGTTTAGTGAACAATAAATAATTGGGCTTATTAATCTCTTTTTCTTCTTGAATTCTGAAAATAAAAAATCCAAGTTTCAAAAAACAGATATGGGGATTCCATTAAAAGATGTTCATGTTATCTTGATTTCCGGTAAATTCCATTAAAAGCTCCTATTTAAGCGTTAGAGAAGGATAAAGTGTGGAGCAAGGATAAAGTTAGAGAATGGTGCATTGATTATTTGATTTTCCATCAATCTATCATGCATTTATGTTTTGTAAATTGATACTATACCATTCTGTTGATTTTTATGATGTTGTCATCGCTACACCTATCACACAAAATTCCCAACAAACTAAACATTAAAAACATAAATAATCGATTCTGGTAGAACGAAAAGAGCTATAACACAAAAATATTCATATTTATTTATTTATTTATGTATTTATTTACATTCTTTATTTTCAAAGTAGTTCAACAAATACAATCGAGGTATAAAAACAAAACCGAAACAACAACTAAACAATAATGAGGGACCATTTCCGCCAAAAAGGACCCATGTTCACCATTGCAAAAGGTGGCCGGCTCTAATAGCTTATCCGACAACAAAAAAATTATCAATGACGAAACAATATTACTGTCCCATAACAATACTCAAACTATAAACAAATAGTTGATCAAATAACATTTACAAAGAACAAACAACAGAAAAAATTGTCGCAAAACCCCGCAACGCAGGGTTCCCTACCTAGTTAGTATAATTCATTACAAATATAGTATTTGTTATTAACATATCGAAAAAGTAGCATAGGTCACTATAGACAAATAAATATGACAAGGACAAACGAAAACAAAAGAAGTCTATGATCTATTAGACGTTTTGAACCTCATTTTTTATCACCAGAAAGCTCTTGATGGGTCGGAGCTTTTCAGTCGATCCTCAAATTCCCTAATATTGGTTTCCAAATTTCAGTTTCAGCAATTTTCAGTTATTCCCCGATTTACGTTTATTAGTTTGGGTTGTAAAATCATATGATTGTCATGATTTTCAAAAATTATGGGACAGATTAACATTTAATTTCCGTAAGTTTCAGTCAATTTTAATTTCTTAAAATATTCGAATAATTGTCAAATTTAGATCCTTAGATAAAAGGGGTTGAGGTTGAAGTAATACTTGGATATTATCTTGGAATTTATAAACATTCTCCCTAGGGGATTTTCTTGAACAAATCTTGTCCTTACTTCAGTTTTACATCAAATTAAATCAAATTTATGAAAAGATTTGTGGAATTTTTTAAGAACATAAATTATTTAAGTTGTTCTTTATTAATTTTGAATTTGGTTATTTTTGTTTCCTCTTTTTTCACATCTTTTTTTACTCTAATAAATGAAATTTTTTGACACATGTTACATTCTGATTCAATTTGTCAAATGTTACTTTTGTGATTATTTTGAATTAATTTTTTTCCACATATTATTTTATGAGTTTTCCTATTTTGTTAAGTCCACATAATATTTTAATGTAATAATTACAATAAATTACTTTAATAAATGAAGATTTTTTTTGCCGAATGTCACATTCTCATTCAATTTGTCAAATTTCATTTTGTGATTATTATTTATTTTTCCACATGTCATTTTATAGGTTTTCTATTTTG